AAACATACTTTTAAAAAATTCTTCCTTTTAACAAATTATCTATGGGTTATAACATATTACTTAAAATTTTGTTTATTCAAAAATCAACTATATTTTAAATTTGTTTAATCTCTTTAAAATTTTATTTTATTAATTATATATAGTTAAAGTTAATTAGTTTGATTATAGTTTTCTTTTTAGAAATAATCTCTTTAATTTTTTTTTGATTATTTATAGTTACAATTTCCTTTTTAACTAAATCATCATTTACTTATTTTTAGGGTTTAGATTGATCATACTTCTTTGTTTACCATTACAATCCAATAAGCCCATACCCTAATCACAGCCCCTCCCTCACACGCCAATCAGAAGGTACACACTATCGCATTCTTTCCCACGCCTCACGCCAGCACCCCACTACAATCTTCCCAAACATCCCACTAGCCAACATCCATAATCGTTCATCTCCTCATTCACGCAAACTATCTACTCTAACTCCACAATCCTTCATATTTTTACCTTTCTCATCATCATGTCAAAAAAACACGTTCAAACGCCTCATAAGAGTCCCAGATTTGTTGAAGAAACTTCATCTGATGAAGTTCATTTTTAATCGTTTAATATATTAACTCAAACCCCACCGCCTAAAACTTTTGAAAATGTGAGCTGACGACGGATGGTTCTACTCAATTCAAGGTTCATAAAGAGAAAAACAATGATGCAAGAAAAGAGGGATTCCGATAAATCAGAAGCGAAAGAAAAGAAAGGGGAAAATTGTTTAAATTCCTTTTCGGCTTTGATTTGACTTTGTTAATAAAACAAAAAAAAAAGAATAAATGTCGATGTTGCTCAATCTTCTAAAACTTCAAGATGATCAACAAGAAGATCAACAAAAGAAACGAATCAGAGATACCAACGTCCAAAAAAGACAAAAAAAATTGTTAGGGTAAGTAATATATTTAATTTAGTTTCACATTAGTCAAAATTATTTGAAAATGGATAAAATGTGTATGTGTGTGAGTTTAATGTTTGATTGATGAATAGTGTGTGAATTTTGATAATCGGATTATGTATTAGAATTGTACGAATTGTGTATTAACATTGATGTGTTTGTCTCATAATTGTGTGTGTATGATGAATTATTATATTGGTATGCAAATTGTATGAATTTTTTAACTACTATATTTTGTATAAGTTTTGAACATTATTGGTATCAATTGTATATTAAAACTTGTGGGTTGGTCTCTTAATTGTGTGTATATGATGGATTAATAAATTTGTATGCAAATTGTATGAATTGATTAACTACTATATTGTGTATAAATTTTGAATAGTATTGCTATGAATTGTGTATTTACAATTGGTATGTTTGTATGTTGAAGAAGAAGGAAACTGACGATTGAAAAATGTCAAAGGAACAGATCCAACGCAGTTAACTAACTTGTCTACAACAAGTGTTGATGAAGAAGAAAGCTGAGGATTGGAACATGTCAAAGGAACAGGTCGAACGAAGCTGACTGGCGAGTTTACAACATTGGTGAAGAAATAGAATCGCACTAGGATTAGACTACCTATATTAATTAGGATTAAACTTCGTCTAGAATTATTTTTATGATTAGGATTATAGTACAACTAGGATAAGATTTATTTGTAATCGCATTATTATTATTGTAGTATTAGGTATTGTAGTAGGACTCTAAGTATAGTTAACTTAGGACTCTACAATTCTCTCCTATATAAGGAGTATGTACTTAACATTATTATTCATCAATACTATCAATATTGATCAATACCATCAATATATCAATATTGATCAACATATCAATACATCAATACTATTAATAAATCAATACATAAATACATCAATACAATCCTTGATTTCTCTAATACTAGATGTCAGATTTCTACATGGTATCAGAGCTTAAAGTTCTTCCGCTCTCTCTGTATTGATAAAAAAAACCACATATTGCCACGACCACTTATACCAAAATCATGTCAACATCCTCACTTCACCAAATAATTGTCGCTTGCTCCATTAAACTTAAGCGATCAAACTACCTCATAAAGAGGACACACATATCCCAATTGATTTATATCACAAAGAATGTACCAAGTAAAAGTATTCTCGTGGACAAATTGCTGGGAAAGTTGTAGCGGCTAAGAAGGATGCAAAACATAGTAGCACTATTGATGATTGGAAGGAGATTCATGTGCTACTAAGGAGTTGGATCTCAAGCACCTTGATCGAAGGAAACACGCAGCTAATTGTGTGCTGCTCAAATGTCAAGGAGATGTGAAATTCTTTTAAAAAAACATATATTAAAAAATAATTAATTTTGCTAGAGGTTTAAGTAAGACACCATATCCCACCATTATATAATTTATTAATACTCTCACGAGTTTTGATATAAGGGAAAAGGAAGAAAAATGTCAAAACAAAAACATAACGTGGTATTATCTGCTCAACAAGGCAGGGAAAGAGGAAACAACAACATCAACATACCGAAGCATTGACAAAACGAGTTTTTGCTAGATATTCAAATTTTTTTTGCTAGATATACAGAAACAATAACATCAACATACCGAAGCATTGACAAAATAAGTTTTTGCTGGGTATTCAATATTTTTTTGTTGGATATTCAAAGTAAGATAGGAATAACCATTCCGCTACTCACTAGATTGAGAGAAAATGTTAAAAAAGAAGGAAACTGACGATTGGAACATATCAAAAGAACAGGTCCAACACAATTGACTAACTTGTATACAACGAGTGTTGATTAAGAAAGAAGCTGAGAATTGGAACATATCGAAGGAACAAGTCAAACGAAACTGACTGGCGAATTTACAAAACTGCTGAAGATTTAGAGTCACATTAGGATTAGACTACCTATATTAATTAGGAGTTTACTTTCATCTAGAATTATTTTTAAGATTAGTATTTTAGTACAACTAGGATTAGACTTATTATTATTATTATTATTGTTATTGTTATTATTATTATTATTATTATTATTATATTATTATTATTATTATTATTATTATTACTATTATTATTTTTATAACTATTATTATTATTATAATTACTATTATTATTATAATTACTATTATTATTATATTATTATTATAATTACTATTATTAATATTATTGTTATTATTATTATTATTGTTGTTGTTGTTGTTATTATTATTATTATTATTATTGTTATTATTATTATTATTATTGTTATTATTATTATTATTATTATTATTATTGTTATTGTAATTATTATTATTATTATTATTATTATTATTATCATTATTATTATTATTA